GTTAAATGTTTTGAAGTACAAGGTTTTTACTGAAGTTTTATTTCAGTTTTTTGAGAGCCTGATATACATTTATGTTTATTTAAACTTTACTAATGAATTAGGATGAATATCTGAACTTTGTCTAGAATTTCTTTTCTACATATGTAGTCTGTTAAACTGAGTCATTTTTTTTAACACACAGCAGTGACTCTATGGTAAGATATAATGAACCTAACCATAAAACAAGAAACTTAATATAAGTCTTCCTTTTGCTTTGTATATAGTGATCATCAGCAGCTTGCAAAACTTATCCAGGAGTCACCAACCATGGAATTAAAAGATAATTTAGAGTATGAACTTGAGGCATTAGTGGGAAGGATGGAAGCAAAAGCCAACCAAATAACTAAAGTCAGAAAATACCAAGCCCAGGTAACTCAGTTGTCCTTCACTGAAGTTTAATAATTAAAACATATTTTTCTTCAAATGTATAATAAATGACACATAAAGAACTATCAGAGACAATTCTTTACAGAAGAATTGGTATTAAGTGGGTTAGCAAAGAAATGTTATCTTTAGTTAGAATGGATTTCATCATAAACCAGTCATGGTATTTACTAAGTGCAGTGGTGAAATCGTTTACTCAGGGTTTTCATGCACAGAAAAACACAGTGATTTGTGTATTTAAGAGATTACTGAGACTGCTAAGACTAAGGGGATGAGATCAGGGCCCTAAAAGATTGAGTTCACTTAGGCTGTTAGGCTTATCAAAAATGGTTGTCACAGGGTCAAGACAGTATTTGGAGTTGGGCAGAGGTGCACAAATTTGTTGTTTGTTTTAGAATAGAATAGAAATATCAGGGCTACTTGGTGCTGGATAAAGTATGGAGGGAGATTTATTATGAAAGATTGTGGTTTGAGAGATGTGACAACTACTTATTGATTGGTGTGATATGATACACACAGTGCCAAAGTGCTTTAAGAATGTTATCTAAGGACTTAAAACTAAAGTACTTAGCCCAACTAGTTCACTGGTAAATGGCAGAACTGGAATGCAAACATGGGATCCAAAATGTGTTCTTTTTAAAAAGTACTATTTCCAAAGTTCATGTTAAAAAAAAAAAAATAGAAGCATACAATTACTTCAGAGTATTGTTCTAATGTTACTCGTACAGCAGACTTGGCTTTATTCTAATGAAAAACCAACATGCAAACAGTAGTTTTGCTAGAGTAAAAATAAAGCTCTTTTATTTTAAATTATTTGAAAAATAATGAATTAAAAATCCTTTTCATATTGCTAAGTTACCACTACATTTCTTCATCTATCTGCAGATTGCCTCTTGGCCTCTCACACTAGTTTCTACAATGCCCTTCTCCCCCATCTGCCAGTCTTTCTCATTTTTTCTTTCCCAGTGTCTCATTTTTTGCCTCCTAAGTCCTTTCCTCAGCTTTCCTTCTAACCCACCTATTCTGGATTTGGGTAGTGCTGCCTTAAATTTATGATAAAGAACTGGAATTGATGTGTGTACTTTTGTTCATTTTTAATACTGTTAAATATTTTAAGTACCGAGTATTAAATGACTAGTGCCATAGACTTCAAGCTGTTAAAAATACATACCTAGAATGTATTTTTTGAGTTTTTGTTAATGTGAGAGTTATTTTAAAAGTACTCATCAGAAGAAAATGTTTTCCTTAAATTCTTCTTTTCCCTACCTTGCTTATTTGGTTTAGCTAGACAAACAGAAGATAGAGAAGCAAAAGAAAGAATTAAGAGCTAACAAAAAGACTCTCGATGAAGAAGGAAATGTCAGCAGCCGTTCTTCTGGAGTCACAGGGACCACAAGTAAGAAGGATTTTGCCAAACAGAGACCTGGAGAAAAAAGCAGGAAAAATCTTCAGTTATTGAAGGACATGCAAACCATACAGAATTCATTACAAAGCAGTAACTTGTGTTGGGATTACTGATTCCTCGTGCCAGGTCATAAATTTTATTCAGATAATCTGTACCTCATCAATCAGATGTTGACAATTCACTTTCCAGGTTTCATACTCACTTATGTTAGAATTAATTAATAGCAGGTGTTAGGGGGCCCAAGCTTCATTACCCAGTCCTGTGTTACGCAGAACAACTGTGAAATCATTTTAATGGAAACCAAGGGAGTTTTAAGGCCTAAGAAGCCCCTGTTTCTTTGAAATGAATTTGCTACAATGACATATTGCACCTTCACAAATTACCGGGTGGCTTTTTTTTTCCCTTTTTTTTTTAACTTGTGGGTATGATTTTTTTAAAAAAATAGTTCTTCATTCAAATTAGGTTTAAATTTTCAAAATATGAGGCTTTTCCATAGCACGGTTTGCTAGAAAAGTCTTTTTTAAATCTTCTGGCATAAAGTGCCCACTTCCCTTTTCCCTTAAAACCATTAAATACACTTTGTTTCAACTATTGATGGAGGTTTTCATATTTAAATATTTATATATTTAAGAGGATTTGGGTTATTGTTTTTTTTTTCTTTTTTGGTATTTCAAACATTGATCAGTATTGAATGCACTTGTATTGCTTTTTAATCCACTGTTAGTTTTATTTAAAGATCTAAGCAATCATTTTAAGCTAACTACCTGTCAGATTTATGAAAGCATTTTTTAAAGTGTAAACAAATTGTTAATAAATGAGATTTTTGAAGAAAGTGAGAATGAGAGAGAAAGGAGATGTTGTGAAGCACACACATCTGCAGTTTTTATATATACCCATTTGTAATCATGTTATTAAGTCAAGGCATTGTGATATTTTTAAATCTTGAAACCCAGAGAACCCTGTGAATATTTGCTTTCCTTTTTCTGTACAGTATGAGCAAAATAACTGTACACACAGAATTTTCATTTTAATGATGTTGTTATAATTTTGAAAAGATCAAGACATGTTACCTTTTTATAAATTTGCCATTCATGTCAATAAAGTAAACTTTTTTAAGGAAACACTGAAACTTTCCTTAACAGCCTATTAACTAAGGCTTTATTTATTGTAAACTCTCAAAAATGCATATCAGAATAGGACATTAGTATCTTGATTGTAAGAATATTCATATTCAGTACTTAAATGTTTATCATTTCAATGCTTTCACAAGAAACTAAGCCCAACAAGATTGAATTGCCTCATGGTATATGAGATACTCTAAAAGGGCTAATTAACATGTTAGCCACATATTAAGGGAATTCTTTTCATATGCCTCTCCTTGAATTGAGATGGAGGTTAAGGATTATACCTAGACAGCCTGACTTATTCTAGTACCTGAGCATTGACCTTGTCAAGCCTCTTATTAATTTTTCTACAGCTAGAGTTCTTAATTTAGTGTCCTAAATACCTATTTTGTGAACCTCCTGAGAGTGTATGTAATCATTTGCTTACACATGTGATTTTCTGATTAGCAGGTTTGCAGTCATTGAACTGACAACAGTTCAATTGCTCTGGTAACATGGTAAATATTTGTGTCTCAGCCATCATTTCAGCTATTAAACTTTTGTTATCTCTTTGTTTGAATTTCAGGTCATTAAATTGTATGGCCATCATTTGAATGGTAGTAAATACAAATCGTAATTAGGAGAAGAGTGATTAAATACTGCTAAATCCCACCCCATCCTTTGGTTGGGATTCAAACTGTATCCTCTCCAGTTTTCTTACCTGAGAGTTTACAGTAGGGGAACACATCCATCCTAGTGCTTTATTACAGTGCATTTCAAACTTAACTATCTTCTGTGTCTACAGTGCCAACAAGGATACCAAACTGAGTAATCAAGATGTCTTTACAGGCTGGTGGCAGACATCCAAGTTGTTTTTCTGAATACAGTGTGGTGAATGCAGTGGTTAACAGGCAGGTACACAGTGCCATGGCGGATCATGACAGAGAAGGTGTGATGAATGGAAGTAACTTGCTAGAGGAAAAGATAACTTCTAGAAACAGGACTGAGTCACAAGAGATAACAGTTGGTCTAGGTCAGTAAGATAGAAAAACAAAAGCGGCAGGTAGGAATATGAGGTTTACATGGGAGAATTGTGAATAAGTAGACTAATATTGGTATATAAAAGGAATGCAGATGAGAATAGAGGGGTAGGCAGAGTCTAAGGAGGCTAGAGCTTCAACTTGATCATACTGGTGTCTAAATTTTGCATTCCTGATCATAAAGGAAAACGTATACCCGTACAACTAATATTCATAGACATATAAAGTCATAAAACAAATGCCCATGAAATATTAGGGGTTTTTTTTTGTATAGACAAGTATGTATTTTTAGCTCTATTCTTTGTCTTCTTCTCAGGCACACAAACTTCAGATTGGAGATTGCTGCAGAGGGTGAGGGAAACCACCGAAATGTTTTGAACACAAGACTTTATTTTTTGGATACTGGAGACTGAACTCAGAGGCACTCACACTGAGCCACATCCCCAGCCCTATTTTGTATTTTATTTAAATGAAACAGGGTCTCACTGAGTTGCTTAGTGCCTTGCTTTTGCTGAGGCTGCTTTGAAATCTGGATCCTACCTGCCTAGTCTCCCAGGCTGCTGGGATTACAAGTGTGCACCCCCATGCCTAGCAAACAGAATTTTTTATACTTAGATTTCTCTTGGTAAATATGAGTACATTAAGACTAGAAGCTTTAAATTCTTAATCTCTTCAGCTTTCCTTTATGTTTTATAAGACCAAGATGATAAAGCTTAAGTGAGGGAAGTAAGAGAATAGATTTATCAAATTTAGAATACCAAATTTAGCTTTATTACTATAATATTCTATTATTAGACATATTAGCTTTAATACTGACTGGCCATTTAAACACCTGTTAAATTTTTCTTGTAATAAATTTCACGATAAAATCAGTGGATCCCGATTTTGGTAATATTGAATGTACTGATAGAAACTATTTTTTCATTTTTGTTTATCCTGCCAGGCGAGTGCTCTACAGAAAAAAAATTCCAAGAAATAGTTCTGTGTGTGCGCACACACAAGTGTGTATAACTTTAGACAAGAACAAAGTTTTAAAATTAGCTGAAATTTCTTTTAATTAAAAGACCAAGGGACAAGAAGCTTCTTAGTTACAGTACATTACATATGGCTCTCATATAGAGTAAAATAGACATCAGACAGTGAAATGTCCATACCAGCACCAAAGTCTCAGGCAAGCAGTGAAGCAAGATTTCTTTTACTGGTATTGAGATTGTAATTCATTTTTAAATGCGGTTTGTTCTTTGGTAGGCTTAATTTGGTGGAATAAAGTAGTGAAGTATTTCATGTAAAATTTAAGCATTATACTTCTCACCATATGCTATTTATACAGTCTTCAAAAAAGCCTTTTTTAAACTTTAAAACTTCCCAATTAGCAAGGGGTAAAACAGAAAGGGGTACAATTTTTTTTTAATTGGAAAAAAAAGAAAATTAATCTGAATGTCATAGAATTCTTTGAACTCCAAAATGGCTTCCACTTTGTCTCCTTATGGTCCCCTAAGCATATTTCTAAGGCATCATTCTGGAACAGTAGAATGCCCTAATTAAGTATATAAATAATGTCAGCAGCAATTTTTAACTACTGCCACACTATGTGTTGCCTTTCACTATATTAAGAATGGAGGTTGAACAGTGATCAATGTAAATCAATTACTACATGAAGAAAAGCCCATGATGGAGAAAAAGGTATTAAATGATTTTGATCTGTCATACATAAAGGCCTAATATAGATGATGCCACAAAACTTCAGTGTTGATTTGGTTTGAAAACTTGGCTCTGTGCAGTGAGCTTTCTCCAATCAAGAGGTGTATTTCTAAAGTAGTTTGTACTTTTACCAGATGTCTGAACAGGTTTAGTGTCATAATCATGTAATTTCATGTTTCTCTTAAGCCACCCACATTGCTATAGTTCTAAACTCATCTTAGAGAGACTTAAAATAAATAAAGCATCTGAACTTTTCTCTCAGAGATGAGTTCAAAATAGGGAGACTTTCTACTCATAAAGCTGCCACTGTAATGAAGAGTTCATATCAATGATGTCCTTGGTCACAATCCTTTCACACAACAGTCTGGACAGGAGTGACACATTGTGCAGGAGAGCTGGCTCTCTCTGAGGATGAGGTTGATCGGTTGGAAATTTCTCTCTGTAGTTCCTCTACTTTTTTTTGAAGCTCTGCTCGTTTAGCAAGAAGTTCTTTGTATCTATTGTGAATAGGTTCCTACAAGAGCAAAACATAAAATTATTCAACTAGGCAATCCTAGTCAAACCTAGGGTCACATGAGTGTTACACTGGTTTTTTTTAGTTTGTTTTTAGCAACTGGAACCAGTCCAAACCAGTCCCACCTTTTCTATCCATCAGTGGAGATTAAATTCAGGGACTACTGTGACTACTAAATCTTTCACTGCCATTTCCAATGCCCTCAAGTATTTCCAGACAATACCTGCTGTGGAGATGCTCCTAGAACGGGTACATCTACAAATATAAGGATTATAATACATAATTATGACAATTAGAACCTAGTAGTCAAAAGATTCCTATCATTTAATTGTAGGTTTTCAGTGCTGATAGTAAACAATAATATGAAACAGAATTTTCTTAGGCTTTTAACTTTCCTAAAGCTGTTTTCAACAACATATTAAACAGGACTCATAGAAACTAAAAGAGAACTGATTTGTCCAAAGTCAAAATGAGAAACAGGTATACTGACTATCCAGTGTGGGACTCTTTCCAGTACACATAACTATCAATGGTTGAAAGTTATAAGTATGCACAGATAATATTTCAACTAAAAATATAGAATTAAAGGGGACACATCTAATAGAATTATATTGTGCAGATGAAAACTCCCATCATTTTTATCATACCTGTGGTTTCATCCGTGGATTCCATCTTATGTAATATCCCACCCAGAGCTCTAGGTGGCGCATGCTGGCTACTGGATAAAGGACATGATTGCAATAACTCCCATAGAGAGGATTAGTGAAGTCTTCCAGCTGGCTATTTATGTAAGACCACAGTGACACAGTCCTCTTAGGAAGATTCTATCAGGAAAAATAGGTAAACATTCACATAAGCTATTTATGCTTTGGATGATATATTTTGTAGTCTCAATGGAGATTAACTCGATGACATCTTTCACTGACATTTCCAATGCCCCCACGTATTTGGTTTAAAAAACCTTTTTAATGACTGCAAAAGGAGGGGGGTGGACTTAAACACTTTGATTTTAATGTAAGTGAGTCTATTATAATAAAACAGTCTGCAGTTCCTCAAAGAATTGCACTTGTCCATACAAAAACTTTGTCCCAGATGTTCAAAGCAATAGTATTCATAATAGCCAAAAGATAAAAACAACCTCAAAATCCTACCGACTCATGAGTATATATAGTACTAAGAAGAAATTACACTGTAAAATGAAGATGAACCTTGAAAACATTTAACATTGAGAAGATCACATAGTGATTAAATTTTTTAAAAAAATGTACAGCCAGGTATGGAAGCACATTGCCTATAAACCCAGTGACTGAAGAAGCTGAGGCAGGAGGGTCACACATTCAAGAATAACCTCAGCAACTTGGCAAGACCCTGCCTCAAAAAATAAAAAGTGGCTGATATGTAACACCACTTAACCCCAGCATCAAAAAGAAGTCCAGAAGAGAAATCAGAGGGAGAAAGGGGATTGGCTACTATCAGGTATGGGACTTAACTTGGGATGATGAAAACATCCTGAAATAAATGATGGTATTATACAACCATTGCTATATATGTTTTTTTTTTAAAGTGGGATTCTATGGTATGCAAATGGTCCTTTAGTCTAAGACACACTTAAATCCATAGCATTCTTTGTGGTATAAGTACACAACCCTATTTTACAAAAGCAGAGATTAAGTTGCCCAAGGTTATTCATATAAGTGACAGATCCAAAGATCTCAACCAAGTAACTGGGCTTTAAAAGCTATCTTCCCTGGTATACTTTCTAAAGAATAAGAAGCTACTCTATAAATTTTTTCGAATGAAAGTTTATGTAGGGCTGGGGTCGGTCGTGGCTCAGTGGTAGAGTGCTTGCCTTACATGCGTTAAGGCACTAGGTTCAATTCTCAGCACTACATATTAAAAAAATAAAGGGTCCATCAACAACATAAGAAAAAAAAAAAGTATGTAGAGAGGGGCACTGATCAAGATGGTTAAAATGTTCACACAAAAAGATGTATTCTGAAAAACAAGAAATCCAATTTACTAGTTCTTAGTACCAGCCACTTAACAGTGATCTCTCTGGATAAGAGGAATACTGGGAAAAAAATTTATACAGCGTTATCTTAATAGTTTTTAAAATGTAATTTATACACAGAATATATTTTGGGATTTGAGCTACCCATTCAAAGGTGTGCTTTCTGCTAATTTATATCTTTCTATACCTGCTTTGAAAGATTTCCATCCTATGTGGAATAATGGGAACACTCATACTTCAGTTCTCTTTAGCAGACACTACTTTCCACCCTCAGCTGACAGCACCATCAGCCTTGTGCTGGGTATTTCAAAATAGACCAGGGCCACATATGTGGGAGAAAGTAATTACATTATTGCTTACAAGATAAAATATGACCAAAAGGTAATATTCAAAAAAAGAAAAATCCCTGCTTGGTTGCTATCAATCATTTTTATAGGGATAATGCAAGGAAGGGTGGGCCACAGCTCATATTTTACCTCTTTTCCTCTCTGCTGTTCACTGTTACAAAGGAATGTTCCAAACAAGCAGCTGTACAGGTGGTCCAAAATGGTAATGAGAAAATATTCATTGAATTCAAATGCAGTAGGAAACTGTAAATTGAACATCACATATGCATAAGGTTAAGACTTTTTAGGCATATTCATCATGAGTAGATTCTTTGTAGTACTTTTTAAAAATTAAGTCTAACGACATTTAAAACTATATATCTAAGCCGTTATGCCATTATTAGCTTGCTTTTCTATTTGAAAATCCTTTGTCACTTTTCTCAGGTAATTTCTCTGGAGACTTCTTTTCTTATGCAAAAGTTAGAATGGTGTGCTTTTCTGTATACTCTCTCTCAACCCTAGGCTTACTGGAAGCTGAATTTTGACTTGGGCAATTTCCCTTCCCATGTTTTTCTATAAATTTTCAAAAACGTAATTTTGTTTTCAGGAATTAAACTATCAATATTTTGTCCAGAAAAATCAACACTAGACAAAACTATCCTTCACATATATGTACATAATTTATAAGGCAACAATACTTACCTTTTTCAGAGAACATCCTGGTGAATCAAGGCCCCTCATACCCTGTACTTAGGTAGCATCTTTCTCTCTTTTTAAGAGTGCTGAGGATCAAACCCAGTGCCTCATGCATGCTAGGCAAGCATTCTACCACTGAGCTACAACTCCAGCCCCTGTCAATGGATATTCTAATTTTACAAAATTCTATTTTGAGAAATTAATCAAATGAATGATTACAGAATGTAAAGTGGTAAGTTTTCATGGCAGATTTCTACAACTAAGGACAATTCCTAGTCCCTGAGTAATTTTTGTGGCTGGGAAACTAAAGAACCAGAAGATCAAGCATATGCCATTAACAAAAAAACTAGCTGACTATAAGTAAATCCCATTCTTTCCCTTAATAAATCCCATCTGTGTTTATTAAAAATTTTTAATGGCCTTATTTACTAGGCAAAAATGAATACATCCTGGCTCACTAAATAAGCCCATGAAGCTAAGCCTGTGATTAGTTTTTCAATCTTTTGACAGAAGTATTAGCTAAGTTATGAGAAGATAGCTTATTCAGTGGGCATTTCATCACAAGGAAATTAAAGTAGCTGGGCAATAATTTCCCCATTTTTTTCTTTAAACATGCGTAAAACATAAAGGAACTTCCAACAAGAGCTTTCTGATCCCAACCACGTAGGGTAATAGGCAGGAAAGGTATAGAATGTGGCCTAATTACAACATAATTGTCAAATGTTATTTAAGTCTGCAGTAGTATTCAATTATTTATAAACTTTTAATGATTGTTTAGGAAGAAAACAGCCACCTTCAAGACACAAAGCTCATAACTTAGGAAACAAAACTGAATTGTTGCACACATTTTCTGTGTTAAAATCCTACCCTCACACACATCTATGACAATGCTTCATTTAACATAGAAGGTTTCAAAATAATCCACCCAAGCTGAAATGCTAAGAAAAAAAAACTATTAAATATACAATTGACAAGTCATCTATTTTAATATTTTATTGAAGCTAAAATATTTATTCCAAAGCAGGGCCAATGGGTGCCTACTTTATACTCACGTAGCAGTCTTACCTAAAACAAAGTTTGAGGCCTAACAAACTGCCAGATAAATAGCATATTGATGAGCTGCATTCAACTTTTGGGTTTGGGAATGAATGAGTTACAATTAAATCATATTTTTACGGCACTGACCCTTTTTCAGACTATTCTCATGTTTCCCAAAATATTAAGTGTATGTACATTAATATTTCAATTAAATGTTTTTTATAAAGCTTTTAAAATATTTATGTAACTATACTCTTCATACTTAAAGGAGGTATATCTGTCACCTACCTTGTAATAATTTCTATCTGAACATATTTTTTTCCTTAAAATTGTTAAAATTACTAAAATAGGATTTTATTTTGCTTGGGCTACCTAGCATATTTATTCACCTTCTTTAGTAATGTATAGAAAAGCCTCTGTGTGAGCACACTACTATTTTTAACACTTTTGTTCATAGCAAAGGAGGAAACTTCTCAAATTACTACTGCCACTCTCTGAATAGCCAATAGAATCAAAATTGTAAAGTGTTTAATATTACTCCCAAACAAAGACATTTATGTGTCAATAAATAACAGTTTTATCACTTGAAAAGGTTATAAGAATTTCTCTTTCATGTGAACTGTAAGATAATGATGACTAAATTTACCAACTCTGACTCTGAGCTTAAAGGAGATATGTAAGAATGGATATCCCAGAGAAGCTACCTGTCTTGTCATTTGCCACACACAGTCAATAAACTGAAGGAAAACAGGTGATCTTTCTGCATCTGCATGGTTCTTATCTCCATGGCCAACTCTCTGAAGCAAAGAAAGTGAAATGTTAAATGTAGGAATTTTTAATGGAAATTATTTTCCAACAAAAGTAATATTTGGTCAATATTTTAAACTTCAGAAACATTTTTTAAAGAACACACTGCAAAGGAAATAGAAATCACCTTAATTCCAACCAAGCAGATATTTTTATTAACATTTTGATATGAACTTCCAGATTTTTTTTCTGACATGAAATGCTATGATAGGTATTACCACCTTGTTTAGTAAATGAAACCTAGATCCTAAAAGATACATAATGGAATATGAGTAGTCAGACCTCCAAGGCTAGATTTTCATTTGGGAGATTTACTTTCCTCTAATAAAGAACAATTACTTTGTACATTGGTTTCAGAAAGTATCCCTATTAAAAATACCTTGGCCAGTAAATAAAGAGTACATATCTCATCAGGAGGAACTACATTAGCACAAATTTTTTCAAACCTTTCAACAGTACCTGCCATCCACCCTACATTCATCTATATGGTTTCTCAGTTCTTTCCTCCTTTAAGGCCCTTTTATACAGATGATTCAAACAGAACCCTGCTCCATATTCCAAAGCAGGGATTAATTCTAAAAGTGTTGCCTATAAATTTATGGGGGCCTTGAGGCCAAAACTTTTCACAATAAGAAAGGTATTTTTATTTACTTTCTCTAGTATGTTGGCATTTGTACTAATGGTGCAAAAGTAATAAAGGATAAAACTTAAGTGCCTTAACAGGAATCAGTCAGGGCAGTAGTGCCAAACTGCAATAGTAATAATTACTGTCTTAAGATTTTAGAAAACTATTATCTACCACACTGAGCTTAAAGACTTTCCTGATAAAAATCAGTGATGGTATTAACTAAATCAGAAGGTTTTGAGAATAACTGTTAGCCTACATTAACCATGTCATTTGATAAGCAGATCTTTGCTTTTTTATGTACCATACTTTGGATTCATAGGGCTATTTAGTCCAATTGGGAATGCCTGGATGCAACCCTAAGGTACTTCCAATTCTGAAATTTAGCAACCTAAAAATAAAATTTGAATAACACAGAGGGCTCAAAATCTTGTTATTTCCAAAAAACTATCTGTGATTTTCATATATATGATCATTATAGCTTTAGCACCTCATAAAGATAATAAAAAAGCTGTGTTTTATTCCCAACTTTAATTTTTTTTTCTCCTTTACTTCTAAGCACTTTAAGAATAACAATTATCTTTTGATAAGTCTATAAAAAGCTAGAAGTGCTTTGTAATTTTATTACCATTCACAAAAATTCGGAGGGGAATCACCCATGGACATGACTCAATGGTATCTGATATTTCCAGATAGAGATCAGAGAAGACTCACTGGGCCAGACACCTGACTAACAGCCTTGGCTCCATGTTGTAGTCACACTTAAGATCTCCTAACACTGTTCTAATACAAAGCATATGAGGAGTCTGCCCCACTGGATAAATAATCTGTCTGGGACTATTATTTTAACAGGCCTTTCATGAGATGCATCATGAGTCAAGGTTCATTACTCACTAGTTGAAATCTATGTCCAAAGCTTAGCCACTCTTTCTCCACAAGGACTTCAAATCCTCGTATTGTGCGATAGTATCCATCCAACATAAGCATGGCTAGAGAAGTTAGCTGAGCTGTGCGATCCCAACCATCACTGCAGTGTACCACTACAGACGTCTTCCCTGACTCTACCTTGTCAGCAACCCGAAGAGCCCCTGCAAGAATAAGCTGGAAAATATATTTTCTACATGAAATTTTTAAAAAGTAAAATACTTCTAAAAATTTTTACTAATAATGTAGTTTTCTTGCAGATATCAACATGGGGAGAAAAGAACAAGTAACCCTAAACAGAGTTTTTGTACATGGCAAAATATGCATAAATTTGATTTTAAAACTAGAAAATCTTTTTGAAACAATGCTTACTTAACCACATACCTAACAGGAATAAAACTGGATCTTTTCTAATATTCTATAGAATTTGTTACTTAGACTATTAAGATTTATATATCACATAACACAAAATTAGCACTTATAAACTTTAGAGTAAGCTACTTTTCTTTAGTAAGCATGAAAATTCTCATCAGATTAATGTTAATTTACCTGGTATCTAATTTCGGCCCTTACTTTGATACATATGCAGAAATTCTCTGCAAAATAAAGTTATTTACTTGGAAAAGTCTTGGGTGAAAAATCAATCAGATGTAGCCAAGAAAGCCACAAAAACTATCCTTAAAAGTGGATAATACAGCATTCTCTGCAGTGACTGTATAATATCATAATTAGAGAAAAATCTGGCATCACAGAGATCACAATAAAGAAAACAGATTTACTAAACTTGGGAAATGCCATGAGATCACTTTCATCATAATTATTAGGCATATTCTGGAAATGGGGCACTCTAAAGCAATCTCAATCCTGACTAATCAGTCATTTATGACCATTTAAAAAAAACATAAGTATATGGCCCAATTTTCCAATAGCTCTAATGCACTGTTTTAAATAAGTCACCTGTAATTCAAATGTATATGCACATATAAGAATCATTAACCCAAATCCTTAGTTAAGACTGATCAGGAAGGACTATCCAGAATAGTAGCTCATTCATTTATTCATAAACAATTATGGAATCCCTAACTATGTTGCAGGCACTGCTCTAGGTGGTAAATAAAGCACTGAAAAAAAACAAAGAACCTGTTTAATATTAGAAACTGAAATTCTACTTGGGGGAATCCAGACAGGCACAGAAAAGACAGATATCCATAACTGAAAAATCTCTGCAAGGGGATATAAAGAGTACTAGTAGATCTGTTATTTTGCATGAAATATTTGGGAAAGGCCTCTCTGAGAAGGTGATATTTGAGTAGAGATCTGAAGAAAGTGAATGGTACGTAAGTCTTGCCTGTGTGAGGACTGGCAGAGGAGAAAGTCCAATCAGACTGTTATGTCTTTAACTCTTAGGGAAACTTGTTTCTGTTACAGCCAGGCTTTTCGAGAGAATGTTGTATCTGGTAATGAAAGGCCCTGATGTTACTGAGATTCACACCATACCTGAAAATATATATAATTATGTTAACTAAAATAGTTTGGTGCTGCAAATATTAAATTGGCATGTTGGGTAAATTAGTATTCACATGATACTCTCCAAGGGATTTAACGCCCAAATAGTATCCTTCATTCAACTACTATACCGTATTCCTCTGAGCAGAATGATTTTAACCTCACATCATACAACAAGTATTTACTAGGTACCTATTCCTTGCTGTCCAAGTTCCTCAGGGGACAAAAAGGAAATATGATTTATTCAGTCTAGTTCACCTATTGTTTGACCTAACAAAAGCACACAGGGTATTACCTAATTAAATGGAAAGGAAAAGGAAAATGTGGAGTTCAGAGAAAATGGAAATGGACATAATCTGCAAAGATTTCATGGAAGAAATGATAAATGAACTGGATCAGAAGGATGAATAGAATTCAGATAGGATCAGAAAGGGAAATGAAGTACAACAAAACCCAAAGCATAAGACAGGAAATGTAATTCATTCAACAAACATCAAATTTAAAAGTATCAAAGCAGTTATCAACTCCTCACTGTTCAGAAAGATATTTTTATGCTGATTTCAATTATAAAATCTAATACAGACAAAAGGTTAGAGAAAATCCTTGTTTGAGAAATAGTAACACATCACACACCTTAATATGTTCTAGCCAGTGAGTAGATTCCAAGTTAGACAGCCAGTGAGTTTCCTCAATGTTGGGGTACACAATCTCTTTAAGTTTTCGTAATGATTCTCTCATGACATGAATATTGTGGATATCCAGAAAAACTAGTTCTGCGTTTTGATAAGCATCTTCACTTTCATAACCTCCACCTTTTGCCTGGAAAGAGGCACACATCACAGGATATCATAAATGAATATATCCATTATCTGTGGACATCCATGAAAAAGTTCCATGAAATACCTCAAAACATAAAAGAATTTGCACATTACTGGTGCCTAGGAAAACCCCATGGGAGAAAGTAAATGATTGGATGCAACTTAGCACAACCATGCTATACCTCATGTTCTTTGTAAAACAAAAATATGTACTTACCATTCCTTAAGTTATAAATATTAAATGTTAAACTTAGGCATTTGAATGTTTAAAAACACTTTTCCTACCCATATTTCAAATTCTATCCTAACAATTACTTACAGAAGACTCTCCTTCATACCTACTAAAATCACCAGACTTAAGTTCCATGTGCAGCAACCCCATGTGTGGTTCAACCATGCTACTTTACCTCCCTGCCTCTTCACATCATTTTAATCTTAATATCTGCAGGATAAATTATAACAGCTTATTTTTAAATAAGTATAAAGGTATAGGATTCACATCTACAAAACAGAATGAGAAAATATTTGGTGTTTTTCAAAATAAACTATAACTGGAAAGGAGAACCTAATTTTTTCTGAACCAAATAATTATGACTAAAAATATGATCCTATCTTCTACCTAACATGTATAAAATTTCACTTCTGAGAGCCCCATAAGAAACAAAAGTACTAGAGAAGCCATTGTAGTTATATAAAATTAAGTGATTATGACTTAAAACTTCATAATTCATATCTCTGAAAACAACAAAACTCACCAATTCCTAACCGACATATTACCAAAAGAAAAGAAGTTCAGATTTCTTGACACTAACAGTCTAGGAAACAGTTTGGATTCATGATTAGCACAATTACAAAATTAGCAGTGTTTCAGTGGCTACCTGGTAACAAAGATTACTTCTGAAAAATGGGGATACGACAGGATGAAGGTGGAGAGATTCCAAATCAAATTTTTTGAAGCAATTTTTAGAAAGATGGCAGTGGTGGCACCTACAAAGAATCTATAACAAAAATACAGAATAAAAATATTCTGGAATCAGATGTTGTTTTGGTTATATAACTGTCAATACACTAAAGAGTATACTTAAAAAGAGTGCACTGTATGATATATTTCACTTTATCTCCATACAACTGTTAAAAAAAGAATAAATAATAAAATTTAAAAAATTTTTTTAAAGATAACTTAGTGACAGTGTATCCCATCAAACTCCAAAATGCCAAAAGGTAGAACAAAGGAAGGACAGCAGACAAGGTCAAGCTCCTTTATCAGTACACAGGAGTAAACAAAAGAAAGCAGTGGACACATGGAAGATAAGAAAAACCTAAGAGTATTTGTTTTGTTTCTTTGCTTTGGTTTTCTTTTAGAACTACAGGTAAACACAATAGGTTAATTTACCAAGTGCATCTGAAATTGAGAGGAGTCTGTTCATTTAACAGCTGATAAACACAACAATAGAGGTAAATTTAAGGGCCAGCTCTATCTAGCCCTTATACACTCTTGGATCTGACTGGCCATGTATCCCTTCAGCTCAAAGCATAATGAAAATTGAGCAGGACACAGGCAATGAAAAGAAATCTGGATAAAAGTGGGCAGGACAGTTGGATTAGGAGGGGCAGAGGTGTAGGTGAAGAGTAGGAAAGACAAATTGGAGTCAAGAAATACTAGGATGTAAGATTTCACACTTTTTTAATGCTGCATAAAAACAAAAGAATGCTCAGTGAAATGAGCACTTTAGACTTCAGGGCATGCCTCACTTTTGTGTGCCATCATCATCTAACTTCCCTTCTGAAAGTTCAGGACAATTAATTTCACCTTAAAATGAATAGCAGGAAGATGACTGATATAAGATATCTAAAAATATAAAGAGGGCTGGGGATGCAGCTCAAGCGGTAGCGCATTTGCCTGGTATGCGTGCGGCCCGGGCTCGATCCTCAGCACCACATACAAACAAAGATGTTGTGTCCGCCAAAAACTAAAAAAAAATATTAAAAATTCTCTCTCTCTCTCTCCCCCCGCCTCACTCTCTCTAAAATAAAATAAAATAAAATAAAAATATAAAGACTGAGCAGCATTCATAATATCCCTACAGACAATACCACATAAAACTAAACTATGTATCTTCATGTAAGCTAAAGACATTTTTAAAATAATACCAGGCATGAAAACAACATGGGATTGAAAAACCTCAAATAAATTACAGAAATTTAGGAACAAATGACAAATAAAGTATCACTTCAGAAATAAAGACTAAAAGGAATACAAGCTCCGCTGAAACACATGAGTGAAAAGGAAAAGTCTTAAAACCCCCCAAAACATCAGAAAAATAAAAAGAAAGAGAAAGCAGCAAATGATGAAGTAAGTAAAGAGTAAACACAAATTTAAAAGGAATACCTGAAGAAAAGAGCCATGTCAAGAAAACCAAATAAATATTAAGAATTATAATTAAAATGCAAATTTTTAAATATTGAAAATTACAAAACAAAATAGCAGACAAGTATACCTGAGAATACAGACGCAAAACACCTAACATTAACACATAATCCGGGATAGGGTGGGGGATGTTGTGCAGGAAAAAAAAAATCCTTTGGATATTCACACAAAAATCAGTGACTTAGAGAATTTTTTCAAACTTGTTAAAACATTATGCCAAAAGAAAATGGAATAATGTATTTCAGGTACTCAGGAAAATCAACTGTGAGCCGTGGACTATATATATAATAAAAGTGATTTTCCATTATTAAAAAAAAAAAATTCTATCAGCAAGCAGCTTAGAGAATGTTGTTCCTCTGCACCCTTGCTGAAATACTAGAGAACAAACTTCAGAATACCCCCCAAAATGGGAGGGACTAGAAAGACATAAACAGAAAAAAGTGGCTACATTGGTTTTAATATCCTTATCCCTCAATATCCGTAGAGAATTGACTCCAGGATCCCTCAAATCCATGGATGCTCAAGTGTCTTACATAAAATGGCATGGTATTTGCAGATGACCTGTGCACATCTCCTGTTCAGATGACTTAGTATCTAATTAAATATTAGTACCTAATGTAAATTCTAAGCAAGCAAATAGTTGTTATGCTGTACTATTTAGGAAATAATGACAAGAAAAAAGTATACTTATTTGATATATATGCAACTTTAAAAAAAATATTTTCAGCTGGGCACGGTGGCACACTACTTTAATCCCAGCAGCTCATGAGGCTGAAACAGGGGGACCAAAAGTTTAAAGCCAGCCCCAGCAACTTAGACCCTCAGCAAGTTAGTAAGACTCAGTCTCAAAATAAAAAATAAAAAAGGCTGGGGATGTGGCTCAGTGGTAAAGCACCTGTGAGTTCAATCCCCAGTACCAAAAGCCAAAACCAAATAAAAAAACAGTTTCAAATCTGTGGATGTAAAATCATTAGAAACAGAAAGATGAATGTATACAGCTAATTACAGAAACAAAACATAGAAGGGAAAGGTCTATGTATAAAAGTGAGAATATGTAAAGGCTATATATTGTGACAATGCAGATATAATTAATACAAAGTACCTGTCCGCTGAAAAGACCTAGAAACAGAACCACGCCAATTAATAAGTGAGCATCCTTAGCAACAGATCATGATTTGAAATACATTTCCTACCAACAGAAACCAGTACTTCTAACCCCATCTGGGGCAGAACATATACAAGATTTCCTGATGAATTTGGTATATTCTATTATACCAGACAGCTTCTTGTGTCAATTAGCTTTTTGTTAGTATAACAAATATTTGAGATTATAAAGAGAAAAAGTCTACTTTGGCTCACAATTTTAGAGGTTTGACTTCTTAATCAGTTGACTCCACTTCTTTTAGGCCTGTGCTTAGGCAACACATCATGGCAGGAACACATGGAGAAGCAAAACCATTTACCTTATAGCAGGCAAGTGAAAGAGGAAGATGCCACAGTTACACATTCCCTTTAAGGACATGCCCCCAACTACGTGAAAACCTGCCAGTAGGCTCCCACTTCTTAAAGCTAGCCCCACAACTTAGGCCCTCAGCACCTCCCAAAAGGGCTTTGGGTTAGAGACCAAGGCTGAACACATGGGCCTTAGAGGGAGACGGACACTTCTCCAAACCATAGTAATTACTAACTCAGAAGATAACTTGAAAAGCCTGCCTCTGACCAAAGATGAGAAAATTTTTTACTTCGAAAAAGTATATTTGGAGGAGTAGGGAGGATAGGAAGGTCAGCAAAATAGAATAGACAATAGGATTGATGTATGTACATTCCATGTATGTATTATATGTCAAAATACATTCTGCTGTCATGTGTGACTAAAAAAAATAAAAATAAATTGTATGGTTAAAAAAAAAAGTATATTTGTTGGGGCTGGGGATGTGGCTCAAGCGGTAGCGCGCTCGCCTGGCATGCGTGCGGCCTGGGTTCGATCCTCAGTACCACATAGGAACAAAGATGTTGTGTCCGCTGAAAAACTAAAAAATAAATATTGAAACTCACTCTCTCTCTTTAAAAAAAAAAAGTATATTTGTAAAAGATTAGAAAATGCTAACTATAAATACATGAGTTCACAGTGATACTTTAATAATAGAACACCACCATTTTGTAACCATCAGTGTTTTAATGTATCTAGGCACTGAGCATCAATAGCCACTAATACCCCATGTGCCTCATGGTGTACCACCTATAGTCCTGCTAAAGGGACTGAATCTAAGTCTGAAAAACCTCTGGATTCATTTGACAGAAATTCAGGGGACCAGAAGAATGATGGACACATTATGATGCAACCAGCCAAGTGTGGGCTGTGAGAAATCTACAGATAAAATATAAGGAATACATGGGTAAAGGGAGGACTACAGATTAAGAAACTTATTGAGTAAATATTTTAAAAGGTAAGACTAAAAAACAAAGTCCATGGATGCATAATTTGGGATAAAAATATAAAGAAATGCGTGAAAATAATTATTTAAAAATTAGAGTCATTACTTTTGTCAGGAGTAGAAGGTGAAATTGGAGCAAAGCATTCATGTAAGCCTTAATAATGAGGCTGAAAAAGTTTTAATTCTTGACATGGGTTATGGCTACATAAACTTGTCATATAGTAATTCATTAAGCTACTACAAATAAAAATGTGTTATAACCTTAGTAAATAAGGGTTTATACTTTCATCAATTGAAACAGGGATCTGTGCACAGTGAGCTATGCATAGGGATGCTTTTTGATAATATTAAAGAATTTAACATTTCACCCTGCCAACTTTTCTGTTCTATATTCTCCTCTGATCCTAGAGAAGGATCCTAAGTCTCATTCCTGTTTATCCATGGCATAAAACTTAGGAAGGACTAGCAATTACTCTAAGAATATATATCAGTTCTTGCACTAAGGGTTTATTTACACGTTATCTTATTTTATTTTTATGCTCTATAACTGAAGAATTTATGATTTATGAGGCCATGCTCTTCCTTGTTTCCTTTAAGGAATATATTTACAGTTTACTAAAGAATAGCTAGATCTCACAATGCTCTCAAAAAGCAAAGCAGAATGGAAGTAAGAACATCTTTCACAATTTAATTAAAGGGTTGATTGTCCAATCACTGTTCCTAATAGCAAAAAAGCAAGCAAAAAGCTTAAACAGCCAACAATGGTTTGGTATAACTGGTTATTGTGGCTTAAAATGATATTATAGATTAATTTCTACTACCTAGAAATATACAGTGTTAATTTTTCAGAAAAGGAACTAAAATTCCAATTTGTTTCAGATATACATGCATATGTATACACACTGGTCTGGAAGTATAAGCAAAGTTTAGTGGTGTTTCTCAGTTACAGAGTTGGCGGTGTTCAAAACTATTTTCTTCTTTTTGCTTATCTGTATTAACCAATTCTTCTATAATGCGTATAAACTGTAATCTTAAAAAGATTAAATAACGACTAAAAATCACATCATCAAATAGAAGAGCCAAGATTAGAAACTCCCTATTTACCACTGAAGAGCCTGGTGGTTTTTTACTTTTTACTACATGGGCTCCTGTCAAAATCATCTGATTTAAGAAACGCACAATGACATTCTTAATTACTGAAAGACAATCTCACCTTATTGGCAACAGCATTAACACTTGGTCGGGCATCAAATATAAAGATTTTGTGAGACTGGGCATTGGAATCCATGATGGCTTGAAGGTATTTTTCATCATCTTTGTTTCGTTTCCCACTCACTCCTACCATGGGCTGGCTACATCGAGTGATTGTGGCTTGACTTTCAGGATGAATCCAGGATAAAACCTTAAAGGTGAAAATGGTAACACACCCTTTATATGCTTCTGTTTTTAATGTTTCTTTAAAAACAGTCCTCTCTGAAGCTCTGCTTTCCAACTGAATCCAAAGCCTCGCCATAAAAGAACAGATCACAGTATCCAGAAAAATTATTATCTTTCAAGCCAACTCTGGCATGTGCAAAAGTTTGGTCTAATTCTTAATCACATACTGATTTATGTAAGTCACAGTTTTGGGGGAAGTGCAGTTTTATAAGAAAATACATTAAAACAGGACTAAGTAAAGCCTGCTTTTAAAAAGTTTTCTTTTTTTTAATCAGTAAATCTGCCCAACTCTGAAGTCTTCAGAATCTATGAAAATTCTGAACCTAAAATAATTTGAGATGATCTTTCTAGACCCAGTTATTCATTGTACACTTGTAAAGTTTTCTTTCTTGGTATTAATGGAAAAGAACATTTATCATTGTGACTAAAGAATATATAACAAAGAAACAGTGAGTAATACCAGAGCAAACATTTTCAAGTAAAGAACCACGAAATTCTGTTTTCATTTTGCAGTTTTATTATTTAAAATTTAAATTAACAGATTTCATTTTATTAAATAACTCCATCTCCAGTATCCCTATTAAGTACTTGTAGCCATTAGCTATTTTTATTCTGCATCCAATTCCCCACTCATCAATCTCAGCATGAGGTAGAATATTAAAACTTTTGCAGTGTCATAAAAGCATCATACTTACTGGGATGCGGCCCCTTGACCTAAAGGATGCCACTCTCTTTAATTCTTCATCAGGAATATTTGATGGTACAACCAACAAGGCAGGGTATGTATCACAAAGTTCATATCGTTCATTTATCTTAGTTATTCTCCAGCTTTCATTTGGAATTCCCTACACATGAAATAAAATATAACACAAATTATTAATTAAAAAACCCAGAAGTAGCCATCATTTTCAAACTCTCATACTTCCACTATCCATCTCTAAAACTACTAGAAGAGCAATGTGCCTATGGTGACCATGCTTTTAGGATGAGACATTCTAATGTAGGGATCTGTGTTTTTTGTAGCAAAATGTTAATGTTAATTAAGTCAATAAATATAGTATAATGTGTGTCTGTATCAATAAAGGAAATAAAGTACAAATGTTCCTTGAGTCATACCTAAATGAAAACATCCTCCTCAGTTACAATTAGAGTTAATTTTTAAATTATATTCTTCCAATTATCTGATAACTACAAACACATTTCTCTGTAAGAAGTAAAATCTTTATTATAACTACTCTGGATAATTTTCTCTTTAAGAAGTAATAGTCTCTTAGCAGCAGAAACCCAATTTTTAAAAAAGTTATTTTGATATTGGAAAAAAAGATAATGGTGAGGAACATGGTTCTGGAGCTAGACTTCCTGAATTCAAATCCTGGTTTCCATACATAGTAGTTGTGTTTCTTTGGGCAGATTACTCAATGTTCTGTGCCTCAGTTCACTCATATGCTATGCAGATAATATTAGTAACTACCTAATTATGAAGATGAAATTAATTAATATATACAAAGTACCTAAGAAAAGCCTAGCATATATATATATGTATATATATTTGTGTGTGTGTGTGTGTATACACTCACAGCACACATGCACACATGTTGTGGTAAATAAAAGTATTTTTTACTTAACAAATATTTACAGAGCACAAACTATAAGCAGAATACTCTCTTAAGCTTCATTCGTACATTAATTCATTCAAGAGATATTGTCTACTACATGCCAAGCACTGCTACATCCTAAGGATGCACCATGAGAAAACAAATGCAGTGCCTTCCCTCTTGTTGTATGAAAAATTTCAAGGAAATAAAAGAGATTATTCCTTCAAAAGCTGCTAGTATTGGTGAAGAATTAGAAAGTGGTTTTAGCATAGAAATGGTAGATAGAATAAAAGGGGCAAGCAGGCATTAGTAAATATTATCAAACTGAATCAAAGTAGGACAATAAGTATATGAGAAGGCTACAAAAGAGCAGTTAAATTTTGATCTGCATATAAAATAATATTAAATATGATAAATTAATGCCAAAATGTGGAGGGGTTAATCTTTTTATGGTTACTGACCAAAGTAAATCAATGGTGGCTTTTAGCACATGAAAATAGGAAGTATACAGTGACTTCTGTGAAAATGTATAAAATTTTCAAAACTGTATATGGAGGTAAATTATAAGAACTGCTCCTAAAAATTATTAAGAAATGTTTTCAGAATTAAATTATAGGATATCCAAAAAGAAAAATTTGAGAGAATAATACTAGATGGTATAAAAGATAATTAAAATTTGCCTGTATTTATTTTTATCTTTAGATCTATTAAATATTTTCAAATAAACTAGTACTTGTAAGCCTGAGATAAGAAAAGATAAATAAAAGATCACTGGCATATTCTGGAAAGCAATTCAAAGAAAATAAAAGGAAGTCAAACAATCAGTATTAACTTTCATTTAATAACAAAATCCTAAAAAGTTGTTTACTTCTACCCATGAAATCTTCTTTACAATGAAAAAAATATAAAATACTAAACCTAAAACAAGAGTACATACCTGCCTTCTATACTCTAAAAGAGAATCATATAGCTTCCACCCATTTTCTGGGAATACTTCTTTGTATTCAAAAGCAAAAAGAGGCTACAAAATAATAAGTAGAGTTAAAAGATATTTAAGAAGGTAATGAATCAGAATATATCTTTACACTCAAAATTTTCATTACTTATCTGCAAGAATATTGTGTATTGGCACCTTTTTATATTGTTGTTTTAGTTTTTGTTCTATATTTTAAAAAGTATTGGTTTTTACATATTTTTTAAAGTATACAAAGCACACAGACCCACCTGACAAAATTTATCAAATACTATCTTATCATCACATCTCCTTTATATATATATATATATAGTAGCTTTGTAGGTTTCCGTCTAAATAATTAAAATATTACATTTTCCAAAAACACATCTTTTGATAGAATTAGTTGGACAATAACATATAACAGTAAACAGCTATTAAATTTATGCTATGTTTTCTAAACTACACAGAATAAACTTTTTATTTTTTGGCTTTCAATTCATCATTTTTATAGACATAATAATACAAACAACTATAATGTTAAAAAAAAACAATTAAAAATGTAGTCAGAGAATCAATGTTGATTCCCAAGTCTATTCTCTACTGGCTATGCCCTTGAATTAAATGCATTCTTGATCCTGGTTCATCTCTAAAATAGGGATAAATAGGGATAGTATGAAAGTGAAATAATATTACATAAATGAGGGAGCCTAACACTGTCACAAAACTTCCTAATAGCACATGGTAGAAACTTACTATTCATCCCCACTTCCCTCCCAAATTGCTAATCTTAACTGTAGCTCTCAACTGAAAAATATTTTAAATCCTATGAATTTGAAATTTCAAATCCTAATGAAGTTCAATTATAGCATTTCATCATGGAAATATTCTGTATAGAAAGATCATATAATTATAGAATGTTCATGCTGGAATGGACCTTGGAAATGAACTAGTACATCTTCCTCATTTTATATCTAAAGAAACTGGCCCAAGAGATTAGATTAACTTAAACTATATATCTGGTTAAATGTGAAAGCAGAGACAAAAATGCAGAAATTCTAGATAGCCTAATCAAGTTTATTTATATCAGTAATTATAATATGATTTTCTAAAGATAAGAAACATTTTACCAGGTTATTAGAGACAGGAAATGCATATTTCATTAGATTCTCAAATATGGATCTTCTTGTTCGCCCCTCAGGTTTATGAGCAAATCGTAAATTCCTAATATCCTAGAAAATATTTTAGATACAAATTAATCACTGTTTGATCACTTTTTACTTAATAAATAAATAAGTTTATGTGGAATTATCTTATAAAATGTTAAAATCTGTAAATTTGAAATAGAAAAATATATAGTAATGTCTGGAATGAGGCAGATTAGAATGGTTCACCAGGAGAAATGAGAAACACAAGACATTCTAAAAAAAGGCAGAATTCAGAGAGCAGAAAATTCCCCTATGCTTATGGACTTGTGAACTCAACATAGGTCAGTTAGAGGCAGCAATTCACATATGGACTGGAGATTACACATACTGTATCTGAAGCTTAATATCATGAGTAGGGCACACTAGCAACATATGTCCTTCCCTGTGAATGCCTACTTTCTGTCATGAACTTCCATTAAAATCCTAATTAATGGTTGTTACTTTCCATGATATCTGGAAATCATTTTTCTACTTTACTACCTCTTCCCAGGACTCACTTTCATTTGAACTTCTCTTGATAAGTCCCCTGTTAAACTAAGAGAACCAAACTTTGCCAAAGATCTTCTGTCCAGTGGTAAGTCAAGTTCCACCTACTGGCAGGAAAATTCTGAATAGTTAGGGTGCTACCATTTAGGCTCTATAGTCAGATCTAAAGACCAGGACTGTTTTCCATTATTTGTATTCCAATTTTCTATGCTTAGGCTAAATTCAGATATTAATGTTCTGGTATATTGATTCTTAAGAGCACTTAGAAAAAAATAGAGATTAAGAATATCTTCAAGACTATCCATTTGATGTAAATGCTATAACCTAGGAAGAATTCAAAATATCTTTATTATATCTCATAATATAATACCAAACATGGAGACACTAAATAATATTGCACCTACAAACCAGGGTATCACTGTGGCTCAGTGGTAAAGCATTTGCCTAGCACATGTGAGGCACTGGGTTCCATCCTTAGCACACATTTAAACACACACACACACACACACACACACACACAAACAAACACAATAAATAAGTTAAATAGTTGTTGAGTCCATCTACAACTAAAAAGATATTTTTTAAAAAATGATGTATATTACAAATCTTGCCCAAAACCAGAATGCTAAATTTACTGTATTTCAAAATATCCATATGTGGGAACTGAAGCTGAGATCTTGAGGAGTCTTGGTTTTCCCCCAGTAAATATCTTTAAAACTATTCAAATTACTCAGAATCACTCTGTTAACCATAGGAGTTCTCTGAAACTATCACAGCAGGAGCCCTACAAATGTTTGTTTATGGATAATGGTCTTAATTCTATAGGAAAAAAAACATTTAAAATAACCAAGATTTTAAAGTCAGTTCGTTTTATATCCTCTTATATTTTATATTCTATTTACTATTAGACTGCAGAAAAGTGATCAAGAAACAATATGCTTGAGACATGGTTGACAGCTACCACACTCACAGAGCCCTTCTGACTGTAATGAAAATAATTACTAAATAATGTAATAACAGATTCACAAAACTTTGACGATTATCACAAGAAAGTATTTTGATTTATACATATGTTGTTTCTTTTACTTTGAGCACAGATAGAACAGCAAAAAATAACAACAATAATAATAAAAACTAAAGGAACAAAGTGATCTGAAATTGAAATGTGCTAAGGTGCTAACTGGGCCATAATAAGTACAATAGCCACCTGGGAAGCAGTTAATGGTATTAAATATCTATACACAGTGGTAAATGTCAATGTTTTCTTTTACTAGAAAGATATTTCTAGTATTTCCATTTAACATTTTTAAAACCAGTTTCCAATTACAGGTTCTATTTAGAAGACAATGTTTTAATCCAAATAAAGTTACACACATAATGAAATTTACCTTACACACAGTTTCCAGTCCATAAGAATTTTCACCTCGACTAGAGGCACCACCAATTTTTTCCACTCTACTTATAACACCAAGAGAAGCATCTAAAACAAATGGGGGGTCCTAAAAGGAAAAAAAAAAAAAAAGACTAAGCACAATTATAATTAAAGATAGAAATCTTAATCAGAGGATAGGAAGTATATCTTCCTATCTTCCAGTGGTAGAGGACTTTCCTAGCATGTACAAAGCACTGGGGTTCTCTATTCCAAGTACCAAAAAAAGAAGAAAAAAAGAAAGAATGAAATTTCTTTCAGATTTATTTTTTATTTTATTATTTTTTTTTTTTGGTACCGAGAATTAAACTCAGGAGCACTCAACCACTAAGCCATATCCCAGCCCTATTTTGTATTTTTCTGTTTAGAGACAGTGTCTCACTGAGTTGGTTGGCTCCTTGCTTTTTGCTGAAGCTAGCTTTTAACTTGTGATCCTACTGTCTTAGCCTCCCAAGCCGCTGGGATTACAGGCATGCCGCTGCACCCAGCCAGAAATTCTTTAATTAAAAATGATCTCAAGTAAACAAACCTGGCTGCAAACAACACACACACACATACATACATACAAAAATCAAATCCAACAAGTCTTACCCGTTCCATGCTTTTGAAATATAACCTGTAATTCGTGACAGTCAGAGTTCCTCTTACAGCACCAGTAAATGGACAGATGTAAGTTACATCTTTGGCTGAAAAGCAAAACATTCAATTTACATTCTATACTTACTAAAAACAGCTTCCTCATCTTGTAAAATTATTCTGATTTATGCCTAAAAACTGAAGAGGTAGAAGTATATGTCTTCCCCTGAGACAAAAGAAAAAAACAGAGATGCCTGCTATTCATGTTGGATAAAACAAGTGCTATGGCTGGAGTAGCAGGGCACAGGAGCACTGGTAATGATGGCAATGATGGAAAATGTATCGAGACACAGTAAGCATTTATCATTTCAGGTCCTAGACCACTTTGCTGATCTCCCGGTATTCTTGCCCAGTTCAGTTTGTCAATGTATCTCTAAAAATATAATACCCCAAATATATAATATCAGAAATTACTGATCTGATTATATTCCTGGGGAAAATATTATAGGTAAAAAGAAATGTACACAAAACAATTATAACGGGATATTTTATTCCTGACCAATCAACTGATGTCCAACTTGGTAGAGAAATGATCACAAGCAACGTTTTATTAAGAAATAAACAATGAATCTATATGACATTTTTATTTTTTAAAGCATGCATTAATTGATAAAGCAGGATAATTCAGAAACCACTAGCTAAAAATATTATTTAAAAATGGCAGAGAAGAAAACATTCGGCCTTTGGTTTTTTGGGTTTGGGCTTATTTTGCTTAGTATAATATTCACCAGATACTGGTCCATAAGGAGGGGTGGATAGGAAGGGAAAAGAAGGGGGAAGTATGGTGGAATGAGATGGATATTATTACCCTATATACATGTATGAGTACATGACCAGAGTGACTCTGCACCATGTACAGCCAGAGGAATGAGAAATAATACAATGATCTGTGTACAATGTGTCAAAAGGTATTCTACTGTCATGAATAACTACTTAGAACAATTTTTTTAAAGAATTTAAAAAAATTTAAAAATGGCAGAGGTCATAATGACCAATATGAGGGTTCTTTTAAATCTTTAAATATAAGTACATGCGATAACATTATAAAGGAATCTCTCTATCATTCCAATTAAAGAAGGTACAATTTTGTGGAGCCACAACTTTTCAAGAACCTTTCAAGAGGCTTCTTCTGGGAAAGCTTGGGGTCATGAAATATGTTTAATAGGATAATGCAACTTCCTGCCTTTTCTTCTTATTCATCACTTTGAAGGATTTCGTATGAAATTTGAAAAGGGGCTGATTTTTCAGCAATCATTTCTAACCTTAAAATGATTCTCTAAGGAAGGCTCAAGTATGAGATACATTTTTAACCACTATTTCCAAAGTATGTTTCATTTAGAGGAAAACTTAAATATTTTCTGGATTCCTTTAAGAATTAGTTTTCTAACTTGCACAAGTAAAATTGTTCTTTTTATCCTATAACCCACCACAAGATGTGTCCCTTTTGGACTCCTTATTTATTTATTTATTTGTTTGTTTATTTTTTACATACATGACAATAGTGGAATTATTATACTCATAATTACCTATTTACAGCACAAGTTTTCATAACTCTGTATATAAAGTATGTTCACCCTTGTATTTGTATAGTACTTTGAATAATTTTAGAGTAAAGAGGAAGAAGTCCATGTATAATGCTCTTCTTGCTCTTAATACAATTGAATAACCTCCCCAGTCTTTTTTTTTTTTTTTTTTTTTTACTTTTCAGCATTATGTGTGTACTAAGCTCTCAATCTGTGGAATAATTTCTGAGCTATCATCATTGAATGTTATGATAATAGTTATTGTCTGCTTGCATTCTCATTTAGTCATTCTCAGAGTTAATAGTCTTAAGATATTAATCCTATTTGTTAGATGTATAATGGACTCCTCTTTACTCTAAAATTATTCAAAGTACTATACAAATATAAGGGTTTGTACCTATATTTCTACTAGGCATGCATTAGGACAGAGGCTCAGACAGAAATACAGATCTAGTAGTCATCAACTAATATATGAGAGATCATTAATTTGGATATGATCAACTGAAATGGTATATAAATGGGAAAAGGAAAATGGGTCAAGGTCTAGTCTTAGTATTGATATTAAAGAAGAAAAACCAATGAAAGAGACTTGAATGGTAACTTGAAAGTCTTTTGTTAAGTTCACATATTTCAGTGGAGGTAGCATAGACATTAGGCTCAGAATAGGAAAAAAGAAACTGTCAACAGTGCTAGATATCACTTTATTATTGAGGTAATCCCCCTATGTTTTGTGTACCTCATCTAACAAATAGGATTAATATCTTAAGACTATTAACTCTGAGAATGACTTAATGAGAATGCAAGCAGACAATGACTATTGTCATAACATTCAATGATGATAGCTCAGTAAATTATTCCACAGATTGAGAGCTTAGTATACACACAATGCTAAGAAGAAAAAAAAGACAGGGGAAGGTTATTCAATTGTGTTAAGAGCAACAAGAGACAAAAACCCTGCTAAGGCTAAAAACCTAAATTTAGCAGTTAATGACCATCCATTTAGAGAATAGTAGTTTTTTCCTTTGGCTTATCTGTACACAAGAAAATGACACCTAGCCAGGGCAAATGTAGCATTCATTAAATCCTTTTTTAAAAAAAATATTATTGATAATAAAATGAAAATGATATCTACTTTGATCTTCTTTAGCTAAAAAAAAGTATTTTGATCTGTAAATAAATAAACATCTTCTTTCTCAAAAATCTGTGAGTATTGTATAAATTATCAAAAATAAAGCTAGAGCATGGGGATAAAAATACAGTTTAGATGCTCATTTTGAGTTTCCAGCTGAACAGAGAAAGGCATCTTTCTACAAATACCTTATTTTGCAATGGAGATAAGTATTTTCATCCAAAAATTGACTTGACTTTATTCAGAGAAGAAAAGAAAAAAAAAACATAAAGGAGGCAAGCATGAGAAAATGTGTCTTGAGTGACAATTCAATGTTTTCATATACAATCCCATGTTAATGTAGTAATTCAAAAAAATAAAATTTTCCTTCATGAAATTCAACAACAGTTAAAAATAAATCCACCTAAATTCAAAAAAATAAAACAAACCAGAGATGAAATTGGGTAAAATTCACTTTTCCTATTTTCCAGTAGCCCAAACATGAACACTATCACCAGGTGCAAGCAGAGGCTTGCAGCACAAACTAGAGGTTTGAAGGCTGCAGGGAATAAGTGTTACCAGTTTATTCTCTGCGTGCCAAGAGAACTGAATAATCTGCAGTCAAAAAGGAGGAGGAAATAAAACAAAAAATACCATTACAGACCCATATCTTTAATATTTTCTCCTGGAAGCAAGGGTGGTTCTTCCATTTCTGCTAATTTGTTAGATTCCCTCAGGACCTGGATGTCAGGGGAGGGAGGAACAAGAAAAGAAACACTTTTTTTAAATTCAAAGGCTAACTTTTCATTCAAGTTTCAAGTGAGTATGCTTGTTCTTAAATTTATAACATCATATCACAATTACTACTTTAAATCAAATTACAAAAATTACAGTGTGGCCTGTACAACATGTGAAGTTATAGTTGTACACACACACACACACACACACACAAACCCTTTACATGATTCTTAGTGAATCTTACAAGAGCCCAACAACAAAGGAAGTATTAAATTCTCATTCCACAGGTTAGAGGGGAAAAGGCCAGAGTGATAGTTAATTTGTTCAACACCACATAGCTAAAATACCAAAGTCTGGATTTCAATTACAAAAGTTCATTCCCTTTCTGTTATGCCACACTGAAGGGCCATACTACATTTAAACTTGGGCAAAATTAATAAGCCCTTATGTAGATTTAATGAGAAGACATTTTAGAGATGATGTTGATAATGAATCTTGTTGAATAAAAAATATTGAATTTAAATCCTGATCAACAACTATTATTGGGTAGCTCCTTTGTGAAGGGATGCCACATTGTATTCCAAGAATGCAAATACTGAAACAGCTAAGGAAATCACAACCAAGGAACATCCCCAATCACACACACCGACTTGTCATATGCTAACTATACCCTATAATACCTGCCATGTCTTCCCACTCCCCCATCTTTTTCACTGCTAAACACCAAGTTTCTGTCTCCAATTCTTCATTTCTCATTAATTCTTCAGCCTTCTGCAATCTAAATTTGCAACCTAATCCAATCCCATCCAGGGAATCAGCTGTTTCCCAGTAAACCCCATTACATGCACAAGCGTGTGTACACACACACACACAAACACACAAGCTGCCAGGGGTTAAGGACAAGAAAGGAGACCAAGAGAGAAGTGAGTATGGCTATAATATAACATCAGGGGCAATCCCTGTGGTGATCAAATTGTTCAGAACTTGACCATCTCTATACACATATCTTGGTTATACTAATCCTAGATTATAGTTTTACAAAATATTATCATCAGGGGAACTAACTGGGTAAATATGTAATTTATTACTACTGCATGTTAATCTGTATTTATCTTAAAATGAAAGTATAATTTAAAAATAAAAAAGAAAAAGAAGCACACATTTGTCTGCACTTACTGCTTCTTGAAAGCTACCTTGCTAAACTCCTCCCTCTCTGGGCATTCTTTGTCAGTGGCTTTTATGCTCCTTTTCCTCACCTTGCCTGTTTCTCATGGGTTTACCCTAGACTCATTATTCATGTTACTCAACCCTTACTGATTCATACCTACCATGACTTACTTAAGTTTACCTACATCTATATTGCCAAACCACACATTTTTTAGGCTCTGGTTCCACACATTCAACCACCTAACATTAACCTCCATCTGGGTGTACTACAGAAAATATGAACTTAATAGACCTAAAACTGATCTGTGTCCCAACTAGCAAATGGTACTACCATCCATTTGCCTGTACAAAGCAGCAGGGAGAAGACAAAGAATGGTGGTCTCTGAGACTAAATCCAGACATCCTTCTTCAGCCTTGATTTATTTCATTACACAGAGAACCAATACCATGAGGGGAAAAAAAATTAACAAAAATTTTTTTGAAAAAAAATGCTTAGCTTTTGTCATTTATTTCCTTCCATCTAAAAAAATTCAATTAAACACCTCAAAACTAAAAGAAAAAAATTACCATTGCGTTATAGGTCACCTTTCTTTTAATATTTATTTTTTAGTTACAGGTGGACACAATATCTTTATTTTTATGTGGTGCTGAGGATTGAACCCGGTGCCTCATGCACTGTAGGTGAGCGCTCTGCCTCTGAGCCACAACCCCAGCCCCTAGGTCACCTTTTGAAGACCATCAAAACTGGTTCAGATATTTCCTATGCCTGAGCTCCTATCTCATTTCCCATACCATTCTAATTGCCTGTTGGTCTTCTTCCCTATCAGACTCCTAGAGAAGAACTAACTCATCTTAGACACCTTTGATTACTCAACAGAAATACAACATGAGGCACATATATAAATTTTAATTATCTAGTAGCTACATTATTAAAATAAAAATGAGAAGAATTGAATATACATTCTTTAATCCAATATTTCCAAAATATTGTCATTTCAACATGTAAAAGATATATTTAAAGTATTAATGAGACATTTTACTTTCTTTTCCTTTTTTATCATACTAATATATCCAGGGAATATTCTATACTTATGGCACATCTCAATCCAGACCAGCCACATTTCAGGCACAAGGTAGCTACAGGTGTAGTAGCCCCTTTATTGGGCAGAACAAATGTAATGAATCTAATTCTTCTTGATGATCAAGTCATTCCTTAGTTTATGACAGGTGCTTAGGGAGAATTAGATAAATGTGTTAAGACATTACTGTCATAATCCAATGTTCACAATAATAATGCAATGCCAATAACTAAGTATTATAAGAACAAATTCACATATCTTCAGCAAACTCATAATTCAAATTCATTCTTTCAAAACTTCAACAATTTTCTTATCATTTTAATGCAAAACGTAAGAACCAGAATACAATGTACATATAAATATTTATATTTTTGTGTGTCATATTCTAAACTCAAGAAAGATCATCTTTAAAGGTAACCTTTGTAAAATGCTATCTAGTTATCAGTCCTTGACATAGTCTTTCATATAGTTATAAAAGAAGGGAAAGAAGGAAGGAGGGAAGGCAGGCCAACCTGTAATAATCATTAAAAAAATAATAATAATAAAAACTTGCAATATGTAAAAAAAAAAAAAACACAAACTTCCTGGGTTCACATCCTCACTGGGTCACATACTAAGCTAGGTCCTCTTAGGTAAAGTTTGCAACTTCTCTATGTCTATTAAATGGTAATTATAGTACTTTACAATAGGGTTGTTATAAAAACTAAATGAGTTAATATATTTAAAGAATTTATATCAGTGTTAGCACATAAAATGTACTTAGTGTTGTCAAATAATAATAATTCAGACCAATTATCAAAATCTGCCAAAAATTTCTTCTAATTATAAAATTAGCACATTATAACAGATATAAATAAAACAACAATACACTGAAAAAAATTGTTCCACATGTAAAACAAAAGATTATAGAAAAAAAAATGCTTCATCCTTCCCTCAGTCTACCATCTCAATCAGAAATTCAAAGATTATGTCACTTATAAAGCTTAATAGTATTTTCCACATTCCACAGATTAATCTGACTTCCAGAAAATATATGTGTGCATACAAGAGAGAAGAGTGGTTCTGGAAAAGGCACATGGTAACATGGAAATTATAATTCTAAATAAAGCCTTTTAAGAAAAGAAATAAGAGGGCTGGAGTTGTGGCTCAGTGGTAGAGCACTTGTCTTGCACTTGTGTGAGGCACTGAGTTCGATCCTCAGCACCACATAAAAAAACAAATAAATGAACAAAATAAAGGTACTGTGTCCATCTACAACTAATATATATATGTAATATTATATATTATAATATATTATATTCTTATCCCATATATATTATTATATAACATAAAATATATATAAATGGGATAAGAAAAATAAATAAAATAATAAAGACTGCAAGAAAACACTAAAATGTAATGAGAAAAAAGTCTGTATGGAGCTAAAGAACTGAATTAATTACTCAGAAAAAAACATGAATGTTGAATGCAGATGTGAAAATTGCTCTAAATTTGAACAAAAAAAAATGTGGGGGAAAGTGATAAAGAATCAAGAATGCTATTTTCAAAAAAAAATCAAAGCAATAGGACTAAAAAATCTAACATATAATTGAAGAATGTGCTTTTGAAATAAAGAAATATTTTCTAAGTTTGTTGATTAAATAGTTTACTATGTACCACACAAAACCAATGAACAGAAACATACCTAAGTGTACTTTGATAAACTTTTTTGAATTAGAAGAATCAAAAGACAAACTATAAAAATATAGGCAGAAAAAAATAAGACAAATTATCTTCAAAGGAATTAAGATAAGCTTCAGAAATATCTGAATTTACCATATTCTAGAAGACAAGAACATGTCATCAGAGCTCTGAATTCCTTCTGTGATGTTTAATGGCAACAGCAAGTAATTTTCAGATCTCAGAAAATACATCCCAGAAAATCCTTTTTTGAAAAGGGAGAGAGAAAGAAGAACCTCAAGCCTAAATCTAATTGAAAAAAGGAAATCATATTTAAAATTCAGGATTCGGGTTTCATATCCTTTACCTCCCTCTTCAAAGCAAACCACTCATTCACCACCACTAAAGTCTGCATTTTAGTTTCATCATTACTCATTCAACTATATTATTGAGATAATATTATTTCCCATCTCACAGATTTGCAACTACAAATAGGATAACTGCTTCATACAGAGATTTTCAAAATTTCAAAATACTGTTAAAATGTAAATATTTTTATTCACTTAACAGAAGCATCAACAGAAGTCTGTTGTTTTCTCACAATGGCATATTCACATGGTGCTTGTTCCTCTACTCTAAAATACCCAAGGGATTAGTATTTAAGATAACATACCATATAGGGAACCATAAATCAATCAATGCCCCCTCCTGATTACTGAACTAATCTAAGATGTAGCTACAGAACAGCAAGCATCTGACTAGTCTAAAGAAAGCAGCAAATCTTTTTTTCCCCAATATTTCTATGGACTGAAATATGAACTCAGTGTTGTAAAATAATAATAATTCAGACCAATTATCAAAATTTGATGAAAATTTCTTCTAATTATGAAATCAACACATTTATATCTGTTGAATTACATCAAAAGACATAAATAACACACAGTACTCTGGAAAAAATGTTGCACATGGAAAGATTATGAAAGGAAAATGCAGAAATAATCCAAGAATCTGACCTGGAAAAATTAACAGAATAATTGTAATGTTTGGCTGAGAGAATAAAGGAGTTTGCTTGAGAAATAAAAACAGAGTGAAAGTTT